GATGTTAAGGAGGTCCTACGTCTTCTCTTTGTCATTTTTTACTTGTTAGATTCCAGGGATAAATTGTGTAGGTTTTAGTTCTAATTAATATCCAATTGTCCGCCATTTTTAATTGGTTCATTTCTTTATTATTGCACTAGAGATTGAACCCATGCCATGTGCACTGCCTGCATGCTAAGCACTATGCTATCAGGCCCAGCCCTCAATTTATTTTTAATTGACACAATGTTTGCCTATAGATGTGTATATGCTTACCGTACAATGTGACTAGTTTATTTTCTTCTCTTGTGATACCTATTTCCATAAAATGATGTTATCAAACAAAAGTTCAAATCCAGAGTTCAAATCATTAATTAATAGTATTTGAAGTGCTCATTCATTCTTTTGGCCATAAGTGAATTCAGGTGGTGTCCTAATTAGTGTTCACTGTAACTTGACACAGCCTAGAATCTTCTATAAAAAGTGCTCCACTGAGTAACTGTTCTTATCGGGTTGCAGTTACCCTGATTATTAATTGAGGCAGGAGGACCCAGCCCGCTGTAGTGGTACCATACCCAGAGAGCTGGATTTGACTATATAAAAACCATCTAAGCATGAGCCCATAAGCCAGAAAGCCATTCAGAAAGTGAGTTAACAAACAATACTCTTGCTTGGTTCCTGTCCACAAGGAATTGCCTGGAATTCCTGCCCTGACTTCTCTTGCTAATGAATTGTGAGCTGGCAGAGTAAGACTGAAACCCTTTACTCCCCAAGCTGCTTTTGGTCAGAGTGTTTTATCACTGCAGCAGAAGGAACTGCAACAGGTGGATAAGAGGTGACTCATAGGAATCTCAGACAAAGGAGGAGAAGAGGACCTGGCACAGCTAGTGTATAAGAGGGACAGCCCAAGTGCTAAGGGAGTATAGACTGTGGTGACTCACTTCCCTCAGGAAGCTTGCAAGAATTCACACAAGACAACATTTGATCTAGGGTAGGAAAGACAAGTAGGAGAGGGGATAAGACTGTTCAGTCAGAACGAGTTGTAAAGATCATGATGTATGCTGGAGCAAGGTGTGTTCAGGGATGTATTAAAATTCCAAATAGATGAAACTCAAGAGGCAAGAGAAAGGTCGGAGTGGAGGCTGAGGTGGCTCAGGTGAGACAAATTTTTGATAGTTTACTATAATAGCGTATAAGCCTAGAGAGAAGTGGGACCACACTATCTTTGCGAAGGAAACAGGGAACCCCGTGAGAGACACACTAGAGTGGGAAGAAGCCCCCCTCATGGCCTTCTCCACAGGGCAGGGTTATTATGTGGCTGGTGCTGCTGCTTTGTTGTTGTCAGTTGAAACTCACCAAGCACTTGGTACAAGCCAGGTGCTCGCTCACATGAACTTACCAGCTGTATGTTTGGGTACGGGCCCCGAGGAGACATTAAGAAGTTATTTCTGCTGCTAAGGAGTACTCCATTTTAATCTCCTCTTAAGAAAGAAGAAAAGGACTCCTATTTTTTTTTTTTTTTTTTTGCTATGGTTAGGATAAGTCTGTTAAATTACTATATTTATGTGTATTTACTTCAACTGAGCATCCCAGGGGAAGAGAATAAATCCCCAAGTGGTGGAGAATTGATATGACCTTACTGAGTGGGACAGGGCTGCCCCAGGAGCATGTTTCTCTGCCCTTTGGACCCTTCCACTTGAACTCTTCATGCAAAAGCTATGCTTCAGAAGCAAGCACATGCTTGCAGATGGTCTGCGAGTAGTTACATGGCCTCTCCCAGTGACCCAAGCACAACACAGCAATTTGGCAAGGCTCCATTTTGATTTTGACATGAAAAGATTTCTGAGTTAATTTTGCAGGGTAGAGGAAATGGTTTATAGGATTTTGTATTTGCATGTATGTGCACAACTTTCCCCTGCTGGTCAATACAGATGGGAACATTGTGGCTCTGCTGTCAAGCTGTTGAAGCGGTTTGTTCACCCAGATGGGCCCTGATTTAACAGACAGCCACATCCATTTTGGTTCCCAGCATCTCTCTGCAGATCTTATGCCTGGTTTTATGCAGACGCAGAAGGTGAGACAGGAGACAATTGGTAATGCTTGGCACCACCCCATGGCCATCTCAGCTGATGGCTTACTGCTTTCAGGAAGCTACTGCTGGAACAGTTAACACGGACCTAAAGGAGGCTCTCTCCTTTCAGCTCCAGTTTGTACATCTGAAAATTTGGAACAGTATCCCAAGTTTGGTTGGACATGCCTGTGTTTCTATAATATTTTGAATCCCTGATACACTGAACTCCTAAACACAACTGAAATGTTTCCTTGTGTGTCAAGGAGGTCACGTGGCTACCTCACAGTGAATGTCCACAATCATCCCATATCTCATCTATTTCTACATCCCATCAATTTCCCAAGTCCTGCTTCCTCTACCCTGGGAGGAGTGGAGCAAAGTTTTTGCTCCTTCCTCTAAATCATCGGTGCCCAGGAAGTTGCACTGGACATTTGTCCTCAGGCTCATCCTCCATGTGCCTGAGTGAAACATCTTTTCGGAAAGAGCCTGGATGGGAACGCACAGGCAGATCTCTCCAGCCCATTTGGCTCTAGCCTCAACCTTTTCTTTATGGAGAAGAGCAAATTCGCTCAAATCCAGCAGCAACTAGCTGCTTATTCCTAGACACAAGAGCTTGAGAGTTTGTTGAAATTCCAACTTGTAGGCTAATAAAGGACTTTTGAATGGTAAGATTTTTTTTTTTAATAATTAGGAATATGTAGGATGGAGCATTGTTTCTGAGGAGAGACAGGTTGGCATTTATAGATAGGATAACCTTGTTAGACTGATCCTAAATGAAATAACATAATAAACGAAATCAGAAGCCAAAAGGAGGTAACCCTATGTTAAGCCGTTCTTTTTTGAGGAGCAAAAACAGACTCAGAGAAACAAAATGACTTGACCAGCTACATGAAGACTATGGCTTTTTCCCCTCAGGACTCCTGTTTTTCTCTCTTGATTATCTGGGGAAGTGGCCACCAGGATCAGGACTACAGATAATGGCCTGTTCTGCGGGTAGATACTACCATGTTTAGCTTTGCTCTCTTTAGCTAATGACCTGTTAAAAAGAAAAACAAAGATGATGTTTGATTGTCTGGAAAAGACCTTCTTTCCTTCCTCTTCATGTTGGCTGGGATTCTGGCCTGATGGGTAGAGGCAGTCCATGACGTGAAATCATGTGCTTGGGTTGTTCTTATGGACAGTAGAGGAGACAAATGAATCGAAAATAAGCATCTTTCTGCCCTCTGTACTTGTAGGTTTGGTATTCAACCAAATGTGGGTCAATAGTTGAGGGGGGAAAAGCCATCTTCCCTGAACACGCACAGATGTGTTTCTGCCATTGTTTTCTAAACAACCTAGCATAGCAATACATATACAGCACATATGTTGTGGTTAGGTGTGTGTATGTTGTCTAAAGTGTATGGGAAGGTATATGCAGGCACTATGGGAACAGTAAAATTTATATGAGGAAGTAAAGCATCTACTGATTTTGTGTCCTTGAGAGCTCAGACCCAAACCTTTGAGGATGCAGAAGGAGAAGGGCACAACTATCTAGACCTGCCTCTCTCTTCCTTTGCTTCCTCGGAACCAGTGCCACCACCCCCCACTCTTTCTTAGTTCAGTCTTGTATCAGATAGTGATGTAGACAGTATTTGTGTGTGTGTTTCACTGAATACTTTTAAAAGAGAAACTTAGTCACCTCCAACATGCATTACAACACATTAGTAAACCATAAATGCATTTATCACAAAATAGTTACTATTACTGTAAAAGAGTATGGTTTTCAAAATTTCCTCACACATCTAAGATTTGTTATCATCTACCATCTACCATCTATCTATCTATCTATCTATCTATCTATCTATCTATCTACTTATCGATCTAATTTTGTTGAACCTTGCAATGAACTAAAAAGTCAGTAAAGTAAGTCAGAAGAAGGTGTCAGATCCCTTGACCCAGAGTTATGGATGGTTTATGAGCTACCATGTGGGTGCTGGGAATCTAAGCTGGGGCTTCTGCAAGAGCAGCCAGGGTCCTTCGTAACCAAGCCATCTCTCCAGGCCCTGTCTGATGTTAAGCTTTATCTTCTGCAGAATCAAGATACTAAGTTAGATGAACTATAGGATTCTTTAAAAATATTGGGCAGTTCCATATTTATTTAGTTGATAGTTGGTATGTAAGTCAGCTAATTGAAAAACCTCATTTGTGTATTTAATCTTATTTTGAATAGATAAGTGAAAATTCTGAATCCCCATGTAAAGTCAGCAGAGATTCACAATGCGTATGTGCGTTCACATGCACAGCCTTTAAAATCTGGACTCTTCCATGCGCTCCTGCTTGTTCAGTGCCACAACCCCTGATGGCATCCTGCTGCTCTTGCAAGAATCCCTCATACAAACATTTACACTAGAACTTTTAAACATCCACAAACATTTATTTCCCTCTCCCAAATAACATCACCAGAGTACTCCGAGTACTCTATGATGTTATAGCTCTGGGCTCTCAGGATGGGTGTCTCTGGTACCTAACTGCTCACTGTCTCCCAGGCTAAGCAGGCTAAGCAGAGCTGCAGCTGGGAATGTGGTAAGCTAAGGGCTGTTGGTACCACAAAGTGCTTTGAGGATATCAAAGGATTTCTTTTTCTTCCATTTCAACCCTCCTTCCACATCAAGGGACACACTAGCAATAGAATCCTCAACTTTAGAACTTTCCACAAACCCTTGCTACCTTGATCTAGAGGCCATGGTGACACAAAAGTTTCAGAAGAGAAATGGAAACTCTCAGAAGTGCCTGGACAACTTTGGAGATTAGAGAGTTTTCTAAAGAATTCAAGGGAACAGGAAGGAAGGAAGGAAGGAAGGAAGGAAGGAAGGAAGGAAGGAAGG